CATATACAAGTTTTTTCCATTTGTCTATTTTTGTTTTGCTGCCCATGCTTTTGGTGTCATATGCAAAGAACTCATCACCAAAGTCAGTGCTTTGAAGCTGTCCCCATTTTCTTCTAGGATTTTTATAGCTTTATTCTTACATTTAGGTTTTTAATCCAATTTAGGTTTTATTTTTAGTATAATGTATATGGGTCCAACTTCACTCTTCCATATGAATATCCAGTTTATCAAGAGCAGTAGTTTGCTTTTTTTTTCCTCCCCCAGTATCGGGGATTGAACTTAGGGCTTTACATATGCTAGGCAAGTACTTTACCACAGAGCTATTGCCCCAGTGCCACCAATAGCATTTCTTGATACCTCTTTCTTTGATAACGGCATTTCATTGGTTTGCATGCTATTAAATGAGTATACACAGAGTCCAACAAAAAATGTATATACACTTTAGGAAAAGAAAAACTTGCATAAATATTTGAATACTAAATTTACTGAGACATCATGAAACTAACACGTTACCTGTGGCCTCTAGAATTACAAGGGTTGCTCAGTGTGGTGGCCATGAACTTCCAGACATTTATTAGCACAGTGAACTGCTGCTTGGGTAACCTTGGTCATTGAGATTGCTGCATACGCATTTTCAATTTCTTCTCTATGGGCCAGCCGCACAGTAGGTTTTCTGTTATAAACGACAGCCTCTAGCATCCCTCATATGGACAGACTCCCGTTTGTTGAAAAAATATACTACTTTTCTTTTCCTAAAGTGTGTATGCACTTTTTTCCTATGAACTCTGTAGTTACAGTAAGCAGTCCTGTTGCCACAAATAGGTTTGAGAATGCGCAGCACAGAGACTCGCGGGGAGCAGCACCTCCATGGGTGTGGATCTTAGCAGCCTGCATGCCCCAAACAGTGAGTGTGTATTAATTATGTCACTTTATTTTGTTTTTTTGATGCGTTCGTATTTGATATTTTGCTAATCTTAGAGACACTGCCCTTCTCCGGGCTGACCAATTCCTACAGACAGTAAAGAACTCAACTGGGAGCATGCTTTTCCTATGCAAACCAACCAGTCCAGAGCCCGCCCAACACCACCCCCTCTATCGCACTCAGGAACACGATCCCTCTACCTTCATCACCACAGGCCAGGCCCCACACAGCTAGGGCAGTCCCTATGCTCCAGAACAGTGGGAATTAGTCACCTTAGCCGGTCCTCACCCTGCTTCCTCTGCCTTGCCGATGTCTCCTGTGTGAAACACAAAGGCTCTCACCTGCTCCTCCTTGCTCTTTCTCCCCCCAGCTCTGGTGGCCCTCTATAACACGGCATGCTTCCCTCTCTTGGGGTCTGCGTCAGATAATATTTCATTGTGGTTTCTGATTTGCACTTTTCATGATTAGTGATGCTGAGTCTCTTTTCATATGCATGGCAGGTGTACAAGTAAGTTTTTGTTTTGCTTTTGAGGAAGGAATGGGTTCACTAATAGGGGACTGCCAAACACCAGCTCTGACTGCATCAGTATTTTGACATGAGCAGACACTGAGAGCATGTAATGACAGGTCATTTCTGGCAGCAGACAATGTAGCATGCATTTATGAAGTCCAAGTGCCTCCTATATACCTGGAACAATGCCAATCACTGGGCATTGTGAGTGACAAGGACACACACCCCGTCCTGAGTAATTCCCAATGTGAGGTAGTCCCTGAACAGGACACGAGAGACAGGAAACACAAATGAGGCCAACAGGACCGTCAGTTGGGGAGGCCAGCCAAGGGCCCGTGGCTAGGGCTCCCGCCACTCCCTGCTGCCCAGGTGTACTACAGCCAGCAATCTGGGGAAAAGGACTGTTTGTTTTCATATCGCAGAGGCCAGTACCTTCTGGTCCAGCTTGGCTCCAGACTGCATCATGAGTCAGAAGAACCATTCTGTTCCAGGCACAATATGGTCACGAAACATTGGTGTTTGCTTCCTCATCTACAGAGAGCAGGAATTTTTAACTTCTCTTTCCTGAAAAGAGGCCTGTGAGGTCATGGGAATTCAACAAAAGTTCAAGAGACCATCCACAGGGACAGGATCCTAGCCCTCACCTTTCCACTGGTGGAAACCTCAACATGGACTCCGCAAAATACATTTCTTCTTTTATCATTAGTGAAAGTCCACAATGCTTTTGTAGCGTTCGATGAGATCATAAAGTGCTAAGGTTGCAACTGGGATTCACCCACAATCCCTCACAGTGGAGAGATGGAAGGAAACAGGCCAATATCAAGTTCCTCACACAACTATAATTTAAATTAAACTTCCTTTAATGAAATAAAAAACAAATGGTGCATTGCATAATATTTGTGGTCACAGTATAAAACAATACAATTAGTTCATATAACATTGGATATGGACAAAAATACATAAGACCTTTTTCTTTGTCTATGGAAAATTTTTCAGATCCTTATGCGCCACACTAAAAAGAAAGTAAGTCAACCTGTTCTCCTAGTGATCTGCACACATATTTATCACTGAGAATTTGGTCGAACAGTGGAGGAGAACTTACCCAAATCCCAGTTCCCTTCTTCCTCTGTTGTCATCGGTGAAGCTAAAAAAAAGTTTTCTGAAAGTAGCAAGTTGGGTAGTATTGCTTATTGTTCCTGCCAAAAAGGCTCAGTCTTTGGCTCACAGATGTCAGTGACAAAATCATGGCTGCAGGCAGTCTGCAAAGCAAGAGGCAAGAGCCGCCAGGGAAAGAGACAAAGATCTGGGCAGGAGGCAGCCATACGGCTAAGGAGGAGGGGGAAACACATAAATACACCTCTAAATGAAGATTTAATTCAGCTGGTGAATCAGAGTTCCACGTCCCATGAAAAGTTGGAAAAGTTTTTTAAAAAGCCAGAGTTTGCATTTTTCTTTTATTTGTTTTTTTAAAAAGTGAAACGTGTATGTAAACATCATAAAGTAAACAATCTAAAGTAATTTTGAGGCTTCTATCTGAACATAGCTTAGGCTCTTTCTGGATACACCTTTGTGAGTAGGGAAAAACCCAACTTCCATAGTTTCTTTTTGTCAGGAAGTGCAATTTCATCTGTGTGAGGCCTGGCTCGGTCCCTCCTTCACTCGCGCCCATGCTGCTGGCAGCAGCCTCTCCCAGAAGAGCACTTTGTGGGAAGCCCTATTTGGTACAAGAGCATATCTCACATTTTAAAACAGGCACACACATCCCAAGCAAGTTTCTGTCCCCGGAAAGAACTAGGTCCTCGGTGCAGTGCCCTGGGATCTCCACCCCTCTCCCGCCCCCAGGTGAGGTGAGGTTTGGCTGGCCCAGTGGACACAGCAGGGGTATGTGGAGGTCAGTGCTGCAACAACTCAGCCTTGAGCTGCACCATCCATTTGAAAGGAAAAGGTACAACGTGTGACCACGTGGTCCTCCTACCACCACCCGTGTCTGGTGTGACCCCCGGCCCTGTTCAAAGCTAAGTACGTTTTCTTCTTACTAAAAAGGACCTGTGCCATAACAATCCCCAATCTTCATTTAATAACTGTAGGAGTTCAGAGGCACTGGCTGCTACTAATACAGCACCTGCTGCTCTAACTCCTGTTTATACAATCGGGTGTGTCCCACCCCCTCTGAGACAGCACACTTAGGAAATGACATGTAGAAAATACCCAAATCTAGTGCCACGGAGGTCTCTTTTTCCTTTCATCTCTCACTGGGGCTGGGAATACGTCCTGCCTTTTTTCCCACCACACTTGAGGCCTGGAGCCCAACTGTACTGCAACCATCAGCACAGAATCTCAAGTTTCTATCATAGGAGTGGTCCTCACACTGGGCAAAATAAAAAGGGACAACTAGGTAGAAATCTGCCTCTGGGACTGACTCGGTGATACTCAAGACCCAGTCATAGGCAGCAGGGAGGGAAGGAGAGGAGATGGAGAGCAGGGAGGAGCTCGGCTCATCCGGCCCATGGTGACAAAGAGCTGCACAGGAATGGCTATCATTCTGTATTACTTTATTGCTCAACACAAACAAATCTTTTTCTCCCTTGGAAGACAGAGCAGTGTTAGATTCTTTCGAGCCAGGATAAAAGTGCAGAGGGTTGCAGTTAGAACACGAGTCACCGGGGAGCCTCAGGAAACCCTACTGGGACGCTTCTGGAAGGCCAGTGCAGTGTGCGGTGTGAGACGCTTCAGGGAGCTGGGGCTTTGAGGGGGCACGCTGCTAAAGCAGAGGAAGCTGGGGACCCGGAGAATCTCTTCTGTCTGCTCCTCTGCCCCCGATGGGAGCAGCCAGGCAAAGCAATCACTCTCAGCCCTACTTTATAGGCCGTTCACGTGACAGTAAATTGCTGGCTTTCCTAATAGGAAAGCAAACATACCGCAAAGTATACCCTCTCTCGCTAGCCCCCTGCAGGGGATCTTAAAAAGACTTGAAGGACTGAAAAGGTCATGGAAAATACACGATTCCTCCAGGCAATTTCTGAGTCCTTGAAGTCAGTCAATCTTGCAAGCAGCAATTTGCCTTCACGTGAAGGAACCCAAGTGGCATGTGAAGGACATGGCGTATCTGAGGGTCCCCTGCAAGTTCCTTGGTGGCCAACACCTTTGCCTCATGAAGGAGCAGAAATGCAGGGGCTTCTTCAGCCTAGCACCACCCTGACTCCACTGACCTCCTGGCTCGGTCTGCGTAACCCTAACCTCCTAGACCATTCCTGCTCTCACTGGGGCCCCTGAAGCTCGGTGGTCACAGACCCATCGGAGAGAATCTCTGTTACTTTCTGGTCCCCAACCTCCTCTTCTTCAAGGAACTTCTGACTGCTCCGGACAGAGGTGGCTGTGTATTTGTCTTCATATTCACTCTTAAGGCGAAGGTGGCAAGATAAGGTGCTTGGTGGAAAGCCAAATTCCAGACTCCAGGGCTGCCCTATCAGCACGCTTACAGAAAACAGATGCAAAAGAAATGGAAGGGCTGGGGATTTAGCTCAGCAGCACAGCGCCTGCCTGGCAAGCGCAAGGTTGTGAGTTCGATTCCCGGTACCGGAAAAAAAAAAAAAAACCAAACAAACAAAAGAAATGGAAGAGGGGCAGAGAAGAAAAAAAATGCATTTGGGCTCAATGAGAAGTTACATACTCCAGGTTTAGATTTTAAATACGGTCTAAACTCTGGAAATAGGGGAGGGAGCAGGGTCGTAAAAAACCACAAACTAGCCTTCGGCACAGGTCTGTGTCACCTCTCGGCTGCGGTAGAGTCACAGCAGCCCTCCCCAGATGAGCCCCTACTACGGGCGGGCACAATCTCACCTAAGATAAAGAACTCTGAACGCCATTGCCCCTTCCTCACCACAAGCCCTCGCAACAAAAGTGACCTACACACACAAGTCAGAGGATCTCTAAGCCAGTAGGAGAAAAGAATCAGACGAGGGTTAACCGTTAAAAAGCTGCAGTTGGGAAAACACACACTCGATTGTTATATATCAGAAAGTGCCGTGGGATGAAGAGCTGTGTGCTGGTAAACATGTCCGCGCTCAGAACTTGACATGCAGAAAAGAGTGAGCGCCAAGTCCCACCTGAGATTAGAGAGGACTGGTTTTAGTGTAACACACTTCCTTTGAAAGTATCACTGTCCTCTTCTCACCCCCACTGTCCCAGAGCGTCCTTCTGTCCCTCCCTGGTGGCCACCGCCTAGTCCATCTCCATCGACATGAGCCGCCGGCGCTCCCGCCGCGTCTCCTGCACCTCCTTCTTACAGCACCAGTGTGAGCTGCAGTATCCAATGAGGCAGGACAGGAGCCCGATGACCGTGGACAGACCCACACCGATCAGCAGGGGATACTTGAAGGCGTTCAGCACTGGCGGGGAGAGAACAAGGGCACGCGTCAGTGCTGCAGGGAGGCGGCTGGGGACTGCTGCCGCCCTAACCCCTGCAATAGCATCTCCCAGGGGGATCAGGTCTCGTAAGTCCTGCACCCAGCACAGGCTAGCACAGTGCTGCAGATAGGAGGGCTTCAGCCACTGACAGAATGAGCAAAAGTCTCCCCATGTGGTTCTGTGGGGTGGGGAGCAGAAAAAGGGTTTCACTTGCTGCCTCTGAATGTCAACTTGCTTTTTAGGGATTTGGCGGGAGATTGATTTTTAAAAGTCAGTGTAAGGGCACTGCACGTTCAGCGGCAGATGCATCCTTTTTTAAAAAAAAAAATGCATAAATCAATTCTATGCATCAAATAACTGAAGTGTACTAAGGGAGTTATTTTAAGTAACACTATAGTAAATTATCTAGCAAAGTGAATTATCACAACTCTGCTTGTTTGGTAAATCTGGGTTTTCATATAAGCAACTTCCAGCAAGGAATTTCCAAGATGCAAACACACTACAGATGACAGAAGTTTGAAATATGTGTAAACACTGTTCAGATGCTACTCCTGAAGCCCAGTCTTCCTGCTCTCTGAGTATTTTGTTCCTTGGGTAGGTACCACCGAGCCAGGTCCCATAGTTTAATATATGGTTAGATTTCTCATAACAGCCCATGAAAAATTATCGTCCCATTTTAACAGAAAGGAGACAATGGGAAAGGCCAATGAATCTGCAGAAGAGCTGGGGTTTTCAGCCATCACCTCGAACTGGCATATCCCTGGGAAACACTCCTAAGTCTTCTACTGAACCCTGGAGGCACCCAAACTTTAATTCTCTCTGTGGGGTTATTGCAATTGGCATTTATTTTCTGTAGCTTTCTGAAGGGGAGATTTTTTTTTACGAACCAAAAAACAAGTGTTCCCACCTTTGATGCTCAAGGAACAGAGGGCTGACCATTCAGTTAGGCTGACCTTGGCAGTTGGTATGGACCAGAAAAACTGGGAGTCATCCTTCCATGTGGGGGCTCTGTGAAGTCCCCACCCTGTGCTGGTGAAGAGGCGGGCAAGAGTAGCCGGCACTTAATATGGCTTCTCCTGGAGACCTGAGTTAGCTCTCTCAATGCTGCTCTCTGCTGTCCCCTGGCAGAATACTTGCCAAACTCGGGACACGGTAAAGTAGATTTCTATAGAATTTATAGGAAAGGCAAAGCCTTGAAAATCACCTGGTGCCCCCGGCACAGGACAACAGAGCCGGGAATAAGCACGGGCTGCTTGCTGTCCTTGAGTCCGTCCAGGCCCGGCCCACAGAGAAAGCAAGCTGGACTTGCGGTGGCACAGAACTCAACCGTGGGAGGCTGGATACGGCAGCTGCGACACAGCACAGAAAAGACAGGAACACCAAGAGGACCTGGGCGTTGTGCTTACCATCCATCTTCACAGTTATAAAGATGGGCTTAGAGAGGATCTCTGCCTCCTTCTGCCAGGAGCCTGTCGGGGATTTCACCCACGGAGTGACGGCACAATAATAGTTGCCAAAGTCCTGGTCCTCGGAGCCATGTACTTGCAGCAGAAATTCCAGCCCACTCACACGCTCCAGGCTGAGGTCGCTCTTCCAGTCCCTGCGGCCCGTGGTCACGATCCCCTTCCGATCCAAGGAGGACAGGAGGGCAGGAGCCTTGTCCAAACCAAAGGAGTGCACCGCAAACCAGCTCACATCAAAGGCCATGTTATCTGTGAATTACAAAGCCCAACCCTGAGGTTAGAGCAATGAGTGAGACACACACAGCTAACATATATGTAACACGTGTATTGCCGGCCTGCTTTGCTCTACATGCATTCACGCAGCAGCCCTGTGATGAAGGGACCATCATATCTGCCTTTGTTCGAGGTGGCACAACTTAGCCCAGACAGTCCAGCTTCAGGGTCCAGCCTCCTAAGTACCCTACTGCCACTACCCAGCCTGAGGAGTAACAAGCAAAGGGTCGGGGCACACTAAAGTGCCTCCACAAACAGCACCAGATGCAAAGCTGGTGGGTGGTGACACTGCATACTCCATCTCCCCAAGAAAGCAGGGTCCTCTCACACTTCAGGCAAAAGAACCCACGACTACAGAGAGACTCAAGTCATAAAAAAAACCATGTACATAAAATAGTACAAAATTTAGAGTTGTACACAATTTAGATTTTATTGTTTGCTGCACTGTTTTTTTTTTCCTTGTAGAAGTGGTTAGGTTCAAAACAAGAAGAAAAAAAATGTCAAGCTGAGAAAAGTGAATACAGTCTAACAGTCCCAGTGAGTACTGCTGCTGGATCGTAAAGTACGCTGCAAAATTAAGGTTCTAACAGCCTCAAATAAATTAATATGGGCATAAGAGAAAGAAGACATTTGCACTGTGATAATTCTCAAAGATTTGGAAGGCGAGCACATACCCTAAGCCCTGGACTTTGTCTCTTCATTGGTACCAACTGATATCAGCTGTGTCTTGCTTTGAGATTTATCCAGCAGGCAGGTAAGGACCAAGAGCCACAGACATGTTTTACCTGAAATCCACTTGGCAATATGTATGTATGTGTATGTATATATAATGCAGTTTATGCAGTGTCTTCATTTAATAAAAGTACACTAGGGCGGGGGCTGGGGATTTAGCTCAGCGGCAAAAGCGCCTGCCTGGCAAGCGCAAGGTCGTGAGTTCGGTTCCCGGTACCGGAGAAAAACCAAAAAAAATAAAAAATTTTAAAAAAAAAAGTACACTAGGGCTGGGGTATAGCTCAGCGGCATAGGGCCTGCGTGCCAAGCACCAGGTCCTGAGTTGGATTCCCAGAACTAAAAAAAGAGGATACCAGTAACTTCAAAAAGCATATCATAAGGCAAATAAATGTTCAGGTGGTTACATATTAAAAAAGAATGTAAGTTCAACTAAAGCAGAAAGTTCTACAAAGTTATCCCAATGATAACTCCTTTTCCACTCACTCTGAAAATGTAACACAGAATCTTTTTCTCTCTACCAACCCACTTTGGAACCATAAAATTTTCTTGTTCCCAGATTCAAAAAGGCCAGCTTTGAGGGGGTCAGTGAGGCCCATCGATCCTTCTTCCCTGCAGGTGCAGGGGCAGAGGGACCCCTCGGCCATGCCCACCTCCCCAGGGAGACACTAACTCAGTGCTGCTGTCACCTGAGGTGCTGGGTGAGGACGGTGTTCCCAGTGCTTATACTCAGACTCTAACCCCACTGCCCAGCGTGCCTTCCTGGGGCGCTCCCCGGGCAAGATCCGGCACCAGCACTGCTTGCCATGTGACGGGTGAGTCGCTTAAGTTCACTGCAACCTTCTTTCCTGGTCTATAAAACAACGCCCATGCCTAAATTAACCATACTTACAAAGATGCTTAGGATAGCACCAATGCTCAACAAAAGCTGATCGCCATGAACTCATCACCTACACAGTTCCAGTACTTGGTCCTACAAATAGACACTGCTCATGGGAAGGGCACCGCCACCTGTAGTAGATGCTGCTGGTGCCCTCGGAGTCCCCACTCCCTGCTGCAGGTGCTGGCTGCTGAAGCTCTCACAGCTTTACCTTCTCCAGAGGACTGGCCTTAGCTGACAGAAGCCACATCCCAGACACGCTTTGAGGAGGCTCTGAAACACACTCGCTGCCTGGCCCTGCGTGCTCGGGACAACAACTGACTTCAGTGGGGAGAGAAGAGCCTGGTCCTCTCGCTCAAGCTGAGCAATACCCTGGAAGCACTCGCATCCTAAGAGGCCCCTGCGGAGAGAGACTTGTTCCACATTCTTACCTCTGCCAGACATCTCCTCAGCTCTATCTCCACTCCCTCACGGGAATCCCCAAAGAGCACGCCACCAATGGGTCACTGCGGGCTCCGCTCCTAGAGAAGCTGACTCACGGCATGACCTGTGCTCTGCCACCTACCTTGGCACAGGGGCACCTTAGCCCTCGGCCCACTCATGCAGCTCTCCAAAAGAGAATTTCCTTGCAGTCCACACGATGTGTGAGGAAAAACTAAACTACAACATGTATTTAATTATTCAGAACTTCCACCCACACAGTCCAAGAGTTCAAAGTTCTGGAAAATTACTATCTGCAAGATTATCAGCTACGTATAGCTTTAGCAATTACACTAGAGAAAAATATTTTTACACTAAGGGCACAACTGCTGACCCATTAATTTACTGAGAGAGAATGTTTAAAGGATTTATTTTTGTTTACATCATAAATGAGATATAAAGGTAAAATGGCATTACATTATTCTAACTCTTAAGAAGGATTTCTCTCCCCTTTCTCCCTCAATCTTTGTACTCTTACTTTCATTTCCACTTTGAATGGTACCTTTGTATCTTAGTTTTTCACATCTCAGGGCCGAAGTGGCTACTCACCTAAGACCTAGCTTCCTCCTTCCCTGCCCCCACAAACAGAGCTAACCAACTCCATCAGTTTGATGGGTTTCATCTTTTTCCCTACCTCTAAAGCTCATTCACATTCAGCTTCCCTAAGACAGCGAACGTTGGTATCAATCAGGACACTACTGGCTGCAGGTCAAATCCGCCCACACCAGTCTGGGGACAGAGCCTCGCCGGAACACAGCCATGCCCATTTGCTCACACTGTTATCTACAGCTGCTTTCCTGCTATGGTGGCAGAACTGAGGAGCTGCTGCAGAGACCATCTGGCTTATAGAACCAAAAGTATTTCCAACCAGGTCCTTTACAGAAAACCTCAAGCTAGTCACCATCTGAACCACCCAGTGGAAGTCCCACAGAAGCCAGATGTGCACTTGGTCAGGGGCTGCCTGGTACACCTACTCCAGGTGTCTGCTCCCAGATGCCAGTAGGGCCAGGGCCATGCTACACTGCACACTCGTTTTGGCTGCTCTCTCAGTCCTTCCCTTTGCACTGGTACCTTCCCCTTCTTCCCAAATGAAACCTGTTTCTTGTCCCCCCCCCACCACACACATACCCCAGCCACACTTCCAGCAGTCTCCATACAGAAACAAGGAGACCCTGCACGGTCTGTCCTTTTCAAGGTGCAAATCTGCATGAAGCCATGATTCTGCTTGTAATGGGTGAGCCAGGACAGTGTCCAGGGTCAAAATGAGCAGAGGGAAAAAGGCAGCCCTTTGTGAGTCAGGTTCTTCATGGGCCTTTCAGGAAAAGGCAGACGTGGGTACAGTCTGGCTAAACAACAGAGCACCCTAAGTGTAGTAAATGTTCTTTCAGGCCTTACAGATCAAGGGCAGGAAAGGGATACCACCTCATCGCTGAGTGGGACCAAGCAAAAAAGGTGTGAGATGGTCCTACAACTCTTAGGTATACTATTGGTAATATTAATATTTCCTGTAAAGAAAAGATTTCCTAATAGTTCTATAATTGCAGCCCCTGGTCACTGGCTAAAACTCCCTTACTCTGTACTGCACTTCTTCACAATGTTAATTGCTATCTTCTTGCCTGTGTCCTTAGGATGTAAACTCCGTGAGGACAGAGTTAGTATTTTGTTTATTCCTGTATGCCCAGCATTTACAGCAGCATTTATACATCGAAAGAGTTCAGTAATATCTGAATGAACAAATGAAAGAAAGACACAGAGAGGGAGTAAGTCCTACCAGTGGGTTTCAAATAAGTAACAGAGGGGACCCGCTGAATGCCCTAGCAACTGAAATTTAAATATCTGGACGTATCTCTAAGTCATCCAACAGATACATGTTACCATTCAACCCAGGTAGGATCAAGCCAAGGAATATGGAGATAGACAATCTAATCCTGACTTCCCATAGCTGTGTAACACAGGAGGGATGATAGGAGAAACATTTTCAAAAATATGGGGGAGGAAAAAGACTGGAGGGCACTACCTGGATCCAGCGCTCCTTCGACAGTGATATTACAGACCAATTTGATCAGATCTCCCCGGGTGACCGACGGTGTGTCCGAATGCACAGAGGCATTAAATATGGGACCTGGAAGAAAGTAACACCAGTTGTTATTCACCTTTCACTGTCCACTCCTTGACATTTCTACTCTATAATGGCATCTAAATTTGGTTTTCTTTTCTGGGAACTGTTCTAGAAACTCAGACTGGTGTTCTAAGGTTGGCTTTCTTCTATTTAGAGAGAGACATGCTTCAGGCTTACCCAAATGAACTCCAGATTAAGATTAAACCACTTCCTAAAGAGTTTCCTCTTTCTAGCTTTTGCTTTACCTTCTCTGTGATGACAATCATATCTCGTTTGAAGACCATCCCCATGCTCCTGCCCCAATTGTAGCCTGGATTGTTTCTGGTTCTGTGTGGTTTCCTCTAGGCCAGGGTAGATTGGAAACCAGAAGGTCAGGGTCTGAAGTATAGATAGTTTTGGCCCCAATACAGTAAGCAGCCTCACTGTATTATGCTGGGTGCTTGAGGCCAGGGGTCTCACTGTTTAAAGGCTGGAATCTAGTACTGAGTGAGAAATGCTGACAATGACAATGTTCCTATAAAGTACGGCAGAAGCAATTGAAGTCACACTCCAGTCTGCCGGAGGAAACTGATACTCCTGTATATTCTTTTCAAAAGTCTGCACAAGTTGAAGAGTCAGGGAATATCTGAGAACTCTGTACTTTTTACTCACTTTTGCTGTAAACTGAAAACTGCTCTAAAAGTTTAGTAAAATAAACAAAAAACCTCCATCGAGACAGGCGCTGTCTTGCCTACCTCCCTGAAAACACTGCAGGTGTATTTATTACTTTTAACCAGTCTATGAATCCATTAGGTGGGAGCATTTCACAGCTTTAAACCAAGTGAAGCCTAAGAGTTCATTGTTATGAACAATGACCTTATCATCCCAACTCCTAAAACCTCAGAACAGGTAAACCTGAAAGAAGGTTCCAGAACATCAGTGCTATGGGATTCCCCTTGGGTTCCTGGGAAGGAAATAAGCCCTGGGTGCTGAATCAAAAACTCATTAGAAGTTAAGAATACAGGTGCTACCATTGTCTTGTTCAGATTACCAGAAAGGAAAAAGTACCTCAAAGTATTTTTTAAAAAAACAACCAGAAGAAATAACCATGAGAGTGTAAAAGGTCCTATCAGCCAATGAAGCAATTAATTAAAATGGCTAAACTTTCATTTCAACTTGATGACTAATAAGACAAATTCATTAAACTGTTTTGTAGCACTAAGCATAGAACTAATGTGTGCTTTCCTGGGAGAAAAGTAAAAGATGGTTCTGGAATACGGAGCAACAGGTGTAGACAGCCCTGGTGAGAACTGCCTAGGGTTGATTAGAGATCAGCGGAGGATTTCACTCCAGACGGACAGAGATGGTGACAAAATGGCCATCCCAGGAATCTGGATCTACTTCTGGACATCATCTCCTCGGTCATGTAGGCTCTCAGGTCCCTATCACCCTGGACTAGCTCTGCCTGTAGCAGCGAGGAGGCATAGGATCAGGCTAATGCTCCAAGCTAGCTCCGTGGTGACAACTGGGGTACTTTATGCCGTAGTGGCCACCGGCAAATTCAAGGTAGTGCCCACCAGGATGAATGAACAACGGGGATTACATTTTTTTCTCAGATTAGAAATTTCTTGGTGATAGATAGAACTACTATACTAAGGGGCTTTCTTAAAAGTATTTGGAACCCTTAGAAGAAAACACAAGATGATAAAACATTAAGAAGTCCTCATAATGGGTTGTTTCTACCTTTTTTGAATTTGAAAATGCAAGGAAGGCTTACATAATTTCAAAAAACATCATATTTTCTTTGCATTTCCAAAGAAAACCTCAAATGCCTGTGAGGTCACAAGTTACACTTCTCACTTCCCCTACTGGTCACGGCTGTGGGAATCAAGAGGGGGTTTGTGCTATGGCTCACAAAGCCGACCAGGGCTGGGGAAGAAGGCCCGCATTGTAGTGAGCTATTCACAGTACTCGATTTCCTTCTAATGAAATCAACAGCTCACTGTTAATATGGGTCATTATCCCAGGCTTAGAAATATTTTCATTATGGACAATTTCTGTGGTAATGCTGTTTTTGTGAGGGGATTTGTCTGGTTAACTTCACAGATGACAGACTAAGGCATAGAGAGTTTAAGCGAACAACTAGAATCACTAGGGGTCCCCTGATGCCTAGTCTACAGAGAACAGCTTTTAAATACAAATATCGACACAGACCATGTTTTAACCTCAGTCCTAGAGAAAGGATGTTAATAGCAGTATTTTTCTGAAAGCAAAAATTATAGACCATTTGCATGTCTATCAATAGAGTAATGGTTAAGGAAATTCTACTATATATTGTCATTAAAGCTAGTATTTACCTAGAATTTACTGTGGCAGTAAATATGTTTATCTTATAACACTGAAGGGAGAGCCAAAGCAGGTCATAAAATTATATATGCCGCCTGACTTCAAAGTCACGAGGGAAACACATAAGAGGAAAATTCCGTGAAGGTGACCAACACAACTTAGGTCCATTTGGTAAGACTGTGGGTGATTCTATTTTCCTTCTTTCTACGCTTTAACTGTATTTTCAAATTTTCCATTTTTAAGGAGGAAAAAATTTATTATTCTTTTAAAAGGCTAAAGCCTGCACCATCAAATTTAAATCCTATTTTCCTCCTTGACACTTGAGTCAGTAAAAGCCATGATTTAGTAAGTCCCCTTGGGAAAAACAGTCTTCAGTAACAAGAGTCGAGTGTCCTGAGATCAGAGGACAGGGCGGTAGATAATGGAAAGACCTCTTTGTTGCGTGACTTCGTGAGTACCGCTGATTTTTAGGAAGAGAAGACTCTTCAGTTTCAAATCAAAGTTTGCTGGAGGCTAGTCAGGGCTATAGCCCCATGTTGGGTGATGAATTTGATGACAGTTTTTTCTAACTGAAATGTGTACTGGTCAAGACAACTCCATACATTCAATAAAATAAAAACCTTAGGCAGTCTCTTCAACCTGGATGCTATGGTGATTTTATCTGTTATATTGAGATTTAAAGAACTGAGAAACAGAATCTATCTGTTCCTCACCCTGAAATACATACAAGAGATTGTATATCTCCCCTCTCCCACATAACAGTCTAAAAGAAAGATCAAATAACAAATGTAAAACAAGATGGAATCGACTCCTACAGAGCAAAAGATACACAAACAGAAAGTAAAAACAACATAATCAACGCGTCTCATCACCCACAGAAAAAGCATGTGACAACACCCAACATCTCTCCATGAGGAAAACACTCAACAGACTAGGGTTGGAAGGAAACTTTCTCAATCTGATAATAAGCATTATGAAAAATAGCCAGTTAACATGATACTTAATAGTGAAAAACTGAATGCTTCCCCCTAAGATCAGAAATCTGCCAAAGACGTCCACTTGTGCTACTTCTACACAACACTGCACCAGAGGCTCTAGCCAGAGAAATTAGGCAAGAAAAGAAAATAAAACATATTCAGCTTTGAGAGGAAGAAGTAAAACCATTTCTACTCACAAATAGCATGATACTGTATTTTAAAAACAAAAAAGAAAAAAGTTGTTAGGAACCCATAAAAACCTATTAGAACAAATGAGTTCAGCATGGTTTTGATACACAAGATCTATATCTAGAACCATAAATGTCTATATATCTATATCTGTAAATATCTATATATTTGTATCTATACATAGAGTGCTTCTATACAACTGCAACAAACAAGCTGAAAAATAAATTAAGAAAGCAAGCCAAAAATCATGGCTCACACCTGTAATATCAGCTACTCAGTAGCCTGAGGCAGGAGGATTGTAGGTTTAAGGCCTGGCTGGGCAACTTAGTGAGACTCTGTCCCACAGGTAGGTAGGTAGGTAGATAGGTAGGTAGATAGATGTTGGGGATGTACCTTAGTGATGCAATGCCTTGGGTCCAATCCCCAATAGGGCAAAAAAGAGTACATTTACAATAACATCAAAACAATTAAATATTAAGATAAATTTAACAAGAAAAGGTCAATATTTGTACACTGAAAACAAATACCACTAAAAGAAACTAAAGAAGACCTAAATAGATGAAAACATGCTTATGGACCGGAAGACAATACTGTTAAAAGGCAATACTACCCAAACTGCTCTACAGACTCAATACAATCTCTATCAAAAGTGCCAGCTATTTTTATTACAAAAACTAACAGACTGATCCTAAAAAGTCATATGAAAATACACGGGATCCAGAATAGCCAAAACAATCTTGAAAATAATACAGTTAGTAGACTCACAATTATTGATTGAAAAATTAACTACAACAGTTAGGTAAGTATTTATCTATTTTACCTTCCAGTAAATTTAGTGTTTCTGTTTTAGTATTTAGATCTTTAAACCATTTTGATTTCAGTTTAGTGCGTGGTGATAGACTTGAGTCTAGTTTTAGTCTTTAGTGTGTAGAAAGCCAGTTTTTCTAGCACCATTTATTAAAGAGGCTATCTTTCTTCCAGTGAACATTTTGGACCCTTTGTCAAAGATATGGTAGCTGAATATGTTTAGATTTGTTTTTGTACCTTCTAATCTGTCCCACTGATCCTAAGGGCTTTTTATTCTGCTGGTACCACGCTGTTTTTATCATAGTAGCTTTGTAGTATAATTTCAAGTCAGGGGTTGTGACACTTCCTTCCTTGCCTTTGTTGCCTTAGTTTTTGCTACTCCAGGTCTCTGTTGGTTCCAAGTAATTTTGGAAGTGTTCATTCTAATTCATATGTGAGGTGTGCTAATGGTATTTTGATTGGGATTGCATTAAACTTATATAACAATTTTGGAAGTATGATCATTTTCACTATGTTGGTTCTTCCTACCCAAGGGCAAGGCATATCTTTCCAATTTCTGATATCCTCTTAAATCTTTTTTTAAAAGAGTGCTGTAGTTTTCAATGTAGAGATCTTTTACTTCCTTTCTTAGATTGATCCCTAAGTATTCCATTTTTTTCTTTGATGCTGTTTTGCTATTCTGAAAGGGGTTGTTGTAGTCAGGGTTTGCAAGGGAATATATAGTATATATTTAATATAGGGCACATAATTTATAGGATTACTTCATAATATTCACCCAAAAATTCAAATGAAAAGTCATGCAAGAGATCTATCCATGCACTGGAGACCCAAAGAATCAAGCTGAGGGCCTGGATCCCACAGCAGTGTCCTGCCGGAGTTCAGCTGAAGACCTAGAGCCCATGGCAATGTCCTCCACTAGTCAGGCTGGAGGCCTAGAGCTCACAACAATGTCTCATGCAAGTCTGTATCAAGGATCTGCACTGGGAAGGCCCAAACGTCAGTGGTGGAATCTAGAAAGTTTGTGCTTTGCAGGGTGAATGATCTGTGCTACCAGGCTAAGGGATCTGCACTGGAGCCAGGAAACGATGCTCAAGACCAAAGCTCCCCTGAAGAGAACTGCAGCCAACCTCAGTGATAGCGAGGACCCGAGCTCCTCTAATGATGAGAACAGCTGAGTTCACATCAGGAAAACCAATGCAATAAGCTTCTCCAGCAACAGCACACCATTTTCCCTCCAGTTCTCCTTTTATGATATTGGCAACAATCCTCAGGTGGGCTTTCACACTGAGCACCACACTCACTCGGTTCAGCTGGGTGTTACAAGTTGACCATTAGTTAATCCACCAAGGGGTTGTTTCCCTAATTTCTCTCTCAGTGAGTTTGTTATTTGTGTGTATGAATGCTATTTACTTTTGAATGTTGACTCTGCATCCAGCTACACTACTGAATTTGGTTTTAAAATCTACACTTGTTTTGGTAAAGATGTGGGGTCTTCTATGTAGAGTATCACATCATCTGCAAATAATAATTTAACTTCTTCCTTTCCTATCTTTATTTCTTTCTCTTGTCTAATTGCTCTGGCTAATGTTTCCAGGATTGTATTGAATAGCAGTGGTGACAGTGGACAACCTTCTCTTATTCCTGATTTTAGAATGAAAGCTTTCAGCTTTTGGCTGTTTAGTATGATACTGTCTGTTGGTTTGTCATAGATGGCTTTTATCAGATTGAGATAAAGGCCATCTACTCCAATTTTCTGTATGGATTTTATCATGAATGGGTACATTTGAGACATTTACAGCTAAATGGATGGACCTTTAGACCATACTCTTAAGAGAAATAAATCAAACATGTAAGTATCTCTGGTATGAGAAACTGAAAGTGTAAATAAGAACCAAAATGTATAAAAGATATTGTGGAATAGCAAGAAATGGTTCAAAGGCAAAGGGGAACTAGGGAGGTGGGGGAAGGAGGAAGGGAAAAGAAAAAAATAAGAAGGATAAAACTGAAACAAAGTTTTGCAAATGAGGAGAACAGGGGTTGAAGGGAGGGGAGGAGAATGGGGAGAAAATATACAGGTACAAATTCCCTATGGCAAATGTGATCGTTATGTATATCTAAATTCTACCAATAAATTTAATAATAATTAAAATAAAATAATACGCTGACCAAACAGCTAAAAAAATTTAACTACAAAGCTACAATAAAGTTGGCTCTTTTCTTCGTATCACATACAAAAAATTAACTCAAAATAGATCCCACTGATGTAAACTTAACAGTTAAAACTATAAAACTCCTAGCACGGGAGGAAGTCTTCATTATCGTAAACTGTGCAATGACTTCTTAAATACGACACCAAAGATATAACCAACAAGAAGAAAAAACAGGTAGATTTCATCAGAAACTCTGCTACTTCAAGGAATATCATTAAGAAAGTACAAAGACAAACTACAGAATGGGAGAAATTATTTTCAAATACTAATGTTTATGGCAGCATTATTCAAAATAGCCAGGAAGTGAAGTAATCTAAATGTCAACCAACATATGAATAGCAAAAGAGTACATCCATTCAGTGGGCAGTTATTTAGCCATAAAAAGCAGCAAAGTACTGATACATGCTATAACATAGAACAACCTCGAAAACCTTATGCCTACGTGAAAGAAGCCAGGTACAAAGTCCAACTCTGCATAACTCAAGTCATATGAAACGGTCAGAAGAGGGAAATGTACAGCAAGATAAAGTAGACCAGCGACTGCCAAGGTCAGGGAGTGAGCAAATGGCAGGGAACAGTAATGGAATGGGGTCTCCTTTGGGGGTCACTCAATTCTGTAAATACATTAAAAACTACTGAATAGTGTACTTTAAATAAGTGAATTTTAGTAGTATGTAAACCATGCCTCAATATAACTATTAAAAACAATCAAATATATACACCATCAAAGAGGCCGATGCTTTACCTACTCTTTAAATCTAAGGGCTTCAATCAATATTCATGCTTTATTCACTTAGAGGTTAAGAGATGCTAAAGGATTAGTTCACCATAAAAGGTTAAAAATATTATAGAAAACACACTTTATTACAGACTAGTTAAATATAAAACAAATGTCAATCAATAAACATCTTACATTTGTTATATTTATTTGATTAATGTCTAAATTTTTATAGATAAATATGAATATACATATTCAGAAATTTCTAACTGGAACTCAGGGTAGAGTCAGTGAAAACTTTTGGTATTGAAGTCACAAATGATAATCCTTCACAATAATACTCTAAATAAGATTAGGGATTTAAAACTATCATTTAACCTTCCTGCTGAAATATACCCAATACACAGATTTGCAAGAGGCTCTTAATGAATTACATAGATGAGGTACTGAAGATTGAACCCAGAGCAAAGACAGGCTTAGACCCTTTATTTTGTATTTTGAGACATGGTCTTGCTAATTGCCTCAGACTTGTAATCTCCTTGTGTCAGTCTCCCAAAGTGCTGGGAATACTGGTGTGTACCCAGCCAGTAAGATACATTTCTATTTGAGAGTATCGTATACTCCTTGTATCTCTGCCATCAACAAAGTAGATCTTTCTACCATACAGGGTAACATATTCTAGTTGCCAAAGATAAAAATCATTTCAGAATAAGCATTAAAATGTCCTTGTTTCAATTAATTTTCCCACAGACAATACCATTAATAATTATTCTTAAAAAACAAAATGGATAGATTACCACAGTAGCTCTGGTGACTAACTGTAGGAAATCTTTTTTTTTCAATCTCAAAGCCAGACAAGAACACAGTTGGGAACAAAACACTGCTCTGATTATTTGGGCCAAGAACAGAAGTCACCACCTTCAGCCCTAGAGGGCCCTAAGAACAGAAAGCCACACAACTGGGTAACACTGGGGTCTCAGCTCCCAAGCTCCCACTTTTGGCAAATCACTTAGCCTCTCTAGAAGTTCAGTTCCCTCCTCTCTTTCTTTATAGCCTACCATGATCCCTAAAGAATTTGAAGTAGCTGAGTTTCAGTCTATTTTTCTAAAAAATGAAGATAGAAATGAAAACATACATTCACAGAAAAACTTGCACATGAGTGTTCATAGCAGCATTACATGTAATAGTGGGAAACGAGAGACACCCAAAGTCTATCAGCTCATGAAACGATAAACCAAGTACAGGATTATCCACACAGGGGAATACTGTCCAGCCATAAAAATGAAGTACTGCATATCCTGTAACATGGGTGACTCTTGAAAACATTATGCTAAAAGAGCTGGCCATGGTGGTGCACGCCGGGTAATATCAGCACTTGGGAGGCTGAGGCAGGCAGATTGCCATGAGTTTGAGGCCAGCCTGGGCTGCACAGTGAGTTCAAGGTTAGGCTGGACTACACAGCAAGACCCTGTCTCAAAAAAGAAACAAAAAACAAAACAAAACATTATGCTAAAAGAAAGTAGCAGATAAGAAGGCCACAAATTATATTCCACTTGTGTAAATGTCTAGAATAGGCAAATCCAATAGACAGAAAGTACATTATGGTTTCCAGAGGACGGGATTGGAGGGTATCACTTAAGGGTTTGGGCTTTCTTTTGGCAGTCTGAAAATGTTCTAAAATTGCCTGCAGTGATGGTTGCACAATGCTATGAATATACGAAAAACCACCAAATCATGTACTTTATATATATTTTAAATGTGCATAGGAATTCTATTTCAATAAAGCTGTTTTTGTTTTTTTTTTTTAAATGAGGATAAGTGATCAAAACCCTCCTAGCTCAATCTATGATTCAACAGAGCTCCTGCTTACCTGAGGTCTGGAAGTCGATCTCAATAGGATTGGAGAGACTGGTTGCTGCTTCCCGCCACACGCTGCCCCTGACAGGCGACCAGGCTGTCACCATGCAGCGATATAGCCCCGCATCTGAGACCTGAGTTTGGTACATTCGATAACGAAATTCATCCTCCTGGACTTTCTCTAACACAACACCATCCAGTCGTGAAGCATCTGTCCAATTCTCCAGCTTCACTACAGCATCCTGGTCCAGGGAGATGATGGACTTCGTTTCATTGGGACTGGAGAAGTCCCCGACAGGCTTCTCCGAAGTGATAAGAACAGAGTAGCGCGGGGACTTAATATTCTTGGAAGATACTTTGCAAGTCATCTCAAACGTATTCCCTGGAGCAAAGACAGGCTTAGGCTGCCTTGCCTTCACCACGAGCACAGAATCTGGAATGAAGGACCAGAAGGAGGTGATTTTCAGTATGATCAGTTAAAATGATATGTATCTAGAAGCGAAATGTCAAGGAAATAGGAATTTATTTGCAAATTACCGTGCAACAGCACTTATGAAAATCGGGACACTCAAAAGGAAACTCCTGTGCATCTCTAAGTGAGCCGAACGCCACCACACAGGAAGAGTCAGCGTGAGATTTAAGGGTGCAAGGAGAGCAGAACTGATGAGATTTTTTTGTGACACTGAGATTTGGTTTGGAGGAACTTCAAGTCCATGACACATTTCACCAGGAGAGAGAACTCAAGGCGCTAACGGCAGCCTCAAAGATGCATTCAGAGTTCACTCTTAGTGAGCTGGGGAGGGCACAGCTGAACCCAGAACATATGCCAACATGTCAGCCACACCATTCGCTCTCCTGCCCTGAGCGTCTGCTGAGTTCAGGGACAGCACTCCGGAAAGCTAGCTGCTCGGAGGAGCGGAGCAAGCAGGAATCTGATGATGGCAACGTTGCAGAACAGATTTAGTTCTAAGATGACAGAAGCATATGCATGTGTAGGTCTAAGCACTTCCACTTGGTTTACACTTTAATTTTGGAAATGTGATTTAACACTGAGCCAGGGTCACTAGCTATATGAATGTTAGGCTTAAGTGTGTTCCTTCCTTTTGCCTGCCAAAACCAAAATCCCCAGGCACACACACGTTAGAATTCATCTCTTGTAACAGCACTATGTCAGGCACTTAGAAACTACTGAAATATTTTTTGAATAAATAAATAAATGCATTAGATCCAATCTTTTTATCCTTTATTATAATGACTAATTCTATAATCTGTTCAGTTATAAGATGAGAGCTCTCTGCTGGGATTTTTGGAACACTCACTCCACCAAGTCTGTCGGCAGAACATATGCTCTGCTCTCTCTAGGATCACTCTTCCTGTTTGGTCACCCATTTACCCATTAAACAAGTACTTACTGAGAGCCCAGCATATTCTAGATCCTGGGAATTCAACAATAAACCAAACATATAAAAATCCTTCCCTTTATGTGTTAGTGGAGGAAGATAAGCAAAATAAATAGGTAAAATCTACGGTAAGGTTAGCTGGTAATCATTTAAGGAAACAAATGCAGATGAGCAAGAGAAAAGTATAGGGTGTAGGGGGGCACAATTACAGGTATACAGGTAGAGTGGACAAGGACATTCCCACAGAGAAGACACCATCTGACAAAGGATCTGAAGGGGGAGAGGGACTATGCTTTGTTTCCCCCTGGGAAAAAGCATTCTAGGCAGAGGGAACACAAGTGCAGAGCTGGAAGGCAAGCCCATACCTGGAGGTCTGAGGATCTGCAGAGGTAGAGGGGTCCAAGAGGAGCAGGCACTGGAGAGAGCTGTGGGTAAGGACAGAAGGTAGCAGGGGGAAGGTGCTATATGCATTCAATGCCACTGAGAGGACTCTGGGTTCTTCCCTGAGATCAGGGGCCTCTGAAGTTTAAAGACAAGGAGCTTCATGGCCTGACTTGCATTTAAGGGTGATGCTTGCCTAGCATGAGTGAGGCCCTGGGTTCCATCCCAAGTACCACACACCTCACAAAAAAAGGTGTCCAGGATGAGCATTTTCACTAGAACTACTAAAGCAATGGTACTAGAGAAGGTAAGAGAAGACAGAAGAGCGCTGGCAGAGACCAGAAGTGCCATTCTGAACAGAACTTTGAAACGCCCATTAGACAAATCTAAGTGTCAGGACAGCAACACAACATTGAGTGTGGCATTCTGAAAAGGCCCTAGGGCAGAAGTGCAATATTGCGAGTCACTGGTGTATAAAAGGTATTTGAATTCACGAAATTAGAAGAGATTGTCAGGGGAACTGTTAAGTAGACTAGAAGTCCAAAGACTATGTCCTAAAGTTGTGTCATGCCTGGGGTTAGGGAAATGAACAGAAACAGCAAAGTAGGCTGAGAAGAAGTAGCCAGTGTGGTTTGGAGAAAGCCTGAAAAAGGTAGTATCACACAAGGCAGGGGAAAAACACAGTCTTCCCAGAACAAGGAAATGATCACCTGTGTTAAATCCTGCCAAGTCAAGTAAGAGAACTGATGAGTTGACTTTGCAGTATGCTAATCCCTGGCAATCTCAACATGTGCAGCAGGGGGAAAAGCCTACTTAGAGCAGGAGCCAAAGAGAACGGGAGGAGAGAAACTGAATACATCAAATACAGACAAACCAAACACTACGGCTATAAAAGGAAAGAGAATAAGACCGTAAGGTTATAGGGAACAGAAAGATGGAGACAAAAGATCAGGATTAGTTTTGTATTTAAAAAAAAGGTAGAGATTGAACCACACGTTGATAGATCAATAGGGAAGGCCCAGAAGTGAGAGAGATATTAAAGATATAAAGCAAGGACCATGTGAAAGAGTGGTAAGGGGGCTCAGCCTTAGCTAGGACGTAAGGCCGAGTAACATAGATTCAGCCACTGGGTAGAGTACGCAGAAATTCACTGATTTTTTTTTTTTTTTTTTTTTTTTAAAGGGAAGAGGAAAGAGGACCAAGAGCTGATGGAGGAGGAAATCTGCAGAGGGTGAAGAAGAAGGAAGTCTGCAAAAATCACTTAGGTACATGGGGAAGTAAATAAAGAAATGCAGAATGGCTGCCAGGCAATGTTGAGAACCTGCTTGACACAGTGATCGCAGATTTATAGTGAGAACATTAACAATGTTGAAATGCTTTCCTCCAATCACATTTAACTCTGCAGATTCAGGTACAGAAGCAGCAGAAAGCTGGCTTTGAATGAGGTTGTGGATACTCACAAGAGTGATACGAGCGGCCAGCTCACTCCCTGCCTCGTAGGCACCCGGAAGGAGGGCCCCCGCCACACAGGGAGCCACAGGCAGGGAGCACCGGCCTCTGGGCCGGCTCTCTCCCTGCCTTGTAGGTGTCCAGAAGGAGGGCCCCCGCTGCATGGGGAGCCACGCGGCAGCGAGCGCTGTTGCACGCCAGCCCTCAGGCCGGCTGCTGCCCCTCAATTGAGAACTATCATGACACACAGAAACAATGACACAATTGGCCCACCACGCACCTGCTGCAGAGGCCCACCCACGGAGGTGTGTGAATCATTCAAACATGGAGAAACCCCTGGGAATAGATGCCATACAATGGGTCACTCTTGCTCCTGCCATTGAGAACCAGAAAGGTCTTGAGTTAGCGGAGGAGCAGCTGCTCAACAAGGACTCGGAGAACATGAGAATGCAGACTAAGCCCGAGGAGTCGGAGGTCCTGTGGACTGGGGTCATGAGAGCCGCTGGGAAGCTGTAAACCAGGAGGACCTTGCACAATACCTGGGGAGAACCCCTGGAAGCCATTCTGCCCCTGACAGTACAGGCTGCAGTACAGGCTGTGGTGGGGCTCCAGAGAGGTCTGCACCAAGATTCCAGCTGCCTGTGCTGACAGTTGGGGAGAGGACACTAACTGGTTGTGGGGTCCCAATGTGATAGGAGGTTGGAGAGAAAACGCTACAAAAAATGGCTTTCACCCCAGATGGCTCACTTGAGATGTTAGTAAGAATTGCCTCCTCAGTATTCTATAGCCATGACAAGGAAGAGGCCAACGAGAGAAAACAAAGAGACCAAGAAAAAGCAGCTGCTTTTGCTGCAGCACTAAGAGAAATCAGATCCCAGGTCTGATTCCCAGGGCCCCAAGAAGAACTTGACAACTGCATTCATCTGCTACCATTGTTAAAAGCCAGGCCACCTCAAGAGGAACTGCCCTAAGAGGCCCCATGGGCCATCCCCTGAATGCAAAGGTGACCACTGGAGATCGGTCTGCCCTCTGAAGTGGAGGCCCCAGAGCTCAGACCCATCCTACCAGTTAGTCCAATAGGAATGAGAGGGCCCGGGGCATACTCTGCCTTCTCCCTCTGGCCAGACCATCATCTCTATGGAGGAGCCCTGGGTAATCATGACTATGGAGAAACAAGAAAACAGCCTGTTGCTAGACACAGGTGCAAGTCTCTCTGTCCTTCTTTTCAATCCTGGCCTTCCTTCCAGCCAATCACACCTCAGCAACAGGAGTCACTGGTGAAGAGGCAATATGCTATTTTTGACAACCCTTAGGCTGTAACTACTTGTTAGATCCTTCTTGCATATCTCTGTCTTCCTGAGAAACCACTTTGAAGATACCACCATGTATTACAGCAGCCACTGATATTTTCCTACTAATCTATCCATAACTCTGTAATGTTTGTATTGTTCCTATCCTATTTCATAAATGGATGCATGTCTATTATTATGTGTTTCCTACAACCATTGAGAAAAGTTAATGATTATTCAATAGGTCACTCATGTATAGCTCTATTTATTTTCTTTAGAAGCCACTTTGAAGATACCAAAGTATAGTACAACAACTATTGATAATCTCCTACCTCTTTTGTCTGTAACTCACTATTATTTGTCTATTTGTTTTCCTGAGAAACTATCTTGTAGATAATAATATGTAAAACAATAACCATTGATAATTTCCTACCACTTTGTCTGTAATTTGGTAAGCCCCCCCATTATTATGTTATCCTTCTTTTACTCTTTAAAATTAAAAAAAAAAAAAAAAAAGAGTGATAAGATTGGGAATTTAGGGTTGATGATAGTGACTGACCACATAACTTACACCAACCCCCATACATCTAAGACAAAAGAGGTGCTATAATAATTACACAAGGACACCAGGTGTAAACTGGAGTATCTGAGCCCAGGGTCATGCTAGGTAAGAGAGAAGTGAAGAAATGTAGGAGTGAGGGACAATGGAAGATGGTGAAATCAATGGCGTTTTGGTCCCAGCAGGGTTGATGGGTTGTTTTTGGAGTCTAGGAGGAATCTAGAAAGAAGACATATTTAGAGAACAGAATGCATGGAACTGCAATTATGGAGGGTTTTCAGTTGTCAGAAGTGAGCTGGTCTAAGTGAGCTCATACCGGGAGAGAAACACCGAAACAGGATCAAAGACATGGTACTCAGAGAGAGGAAGATAAGGACTGAGAGTGAAAGGATTATCTCCATTAGGATTCTCAACCTTGGAGATACGTGAAAACCAAACTATGGGGCCCAGACTGCTTTACCTTAGAGCAACTGAAATACAATGTCCGTGATTCCTGGGATGGTCTTTAAAGCTTGTAGGTGATTCTGATGAAGTCAGCAAGACAGGAGCAGTAACAGAAACAATGACTGTGAAGCCAAAGTGAACACTGCCAACAAATGAACGGGAGGCCTGGGAGCCAGCAGCCAGTGTGGAAAGCAGGTGGCATGGTCTGAAGACAGGAGGGACGCAGCAAGGTATTCTTACAGCTGAGGGAAAGTGGTGCGGGAACAAGGAGGGCACCAGTCCCACTGGGAGGCCCAGGTATGTGAGAAGCATGGGAAAAAATGCCACCACTTAGGACTCCAGTGGAAACAATGTCTTCAGAGAGGAAGCCTGGTCATTGTTATGCATTCAACATGAAGCGTCCCGCAAAGACTCGTGTGTAGAGGGCTTCATTCCCAGTGTCGCAATGTTCAGGTGTGGGGCTACAAGGGGTGACTGTATCATGAGTGTGCTGACCTTACCAATGGATTCATCAGTTAACTGATTATGAGTTGATAGCTGAGTGGACTCTGAGGAGGCAGCTAGGTCACTAGGGGTGTAACTGGGAGAGTTCCTCTTGTCCCCGGCTCTCTGCCCCCCTCTCTGCTTTTCCTGCTGCCATGAGATGAGCTCTCCCCCACCACACCTTTCCACCACTCAGCTCTGCTTCAGCGCAGGTCTAAAAGTGAGCAAGCCGTAAGGGCACGGATTGAAATCTCTGAGGCCATGAGCCAAAATAAACATTTCCTCCTCTAAGCTGTTTTTCCCAGTATTTCGCCAAAGTGATGGAAAACTGGCAACTGGTACTGTTCAATGGAAGAACGAGAAAGAAACATTCAGACATAGGATTCAGGAAACAGGATGTTGTGCCTAATGACAGTGGTTGTAGAGCACCTTTCTGGCACTGGCAGCATAGGACAGAGGGTAGTTACTAAGTCAAAAGAGGGTATAGAGAATCATATGGTGATTAGGGACCCCAGGTGTATGGCACTGACCCCCAGGGACTGTGTATTTGGAAACACATAACAGGATGACTTCAGCAAAATCAAAACAGAACAAAAACGGATAATGAACAGAATGAAGCTCCTACCTTCTGATGCCCAAAATATACTGACAGGTCTGGAGACAACGTCCTTGCTCTTCACCCAGCTGCTGTTCCGCTGTTTGGTCCACGCGGACACCACACAGTAGTAACTGCCTCTGTCCGCCTCTGTAGTCCTTTGGATCCGGAAACTGAATGTGTCTGTGTGCTGCTTAGAAAAAATAAACTCTCCGTCCTGGGCCCGTTGCTTGCTCTTCTCTCCGTATCTCAGGGTCCAGTCCCCATCCATGACTGCAAGGAGCTCACTAGTCACCACACTGTCACTGCGCCGGTTCATTCTGTAGTACCATGACACGGTAAATCGGACACTTGCCTCGCTGTTCTTCATGTCCACTACCCAGCATTCCAGTTCAGTGGGATCGTCTGAAAACCCAGGGACCTTAGAAGCGTTCAGGTACACCTGATAGTCTGGTTCTGAAGAGAGGGGGAGGCCAGGTTAAAGATAATCAGAGCGACAAACCGAGAACTAGCTAGGAACAGGAACTGCTCCTGCTCTGACAATGAAATTCCTGATCCTACTGACCACTGGGATAGAAATCAGACTCTGCAGTAATGGGAAGCATTCTAGGAGTATTTCTACAAAACTTATAAGACACTTCTGTCTCCCTCGTTGCCCAAGAAAACTCCCAAGGCCAGAAGTTAAATGTCTTCAATCAGAACCCTGATTCTTCCACAGGACTGGTGTCAGTTGTCAGTTTCTGCAGTAAGTTGAGTCTTTGAGAAGATCTTATAAGAAGCACAGTATCTATGCACTACCAAGCAAGACCATAAAAGCTCCCCTTGGAATAGTACCAGAAAAGTCTGTCCCACAGGACATTCTAGAATTCGAGGCCCACCAATCCACCACGGCTTAAGACTCTTGCTATTCTTTGCTATACTCCAGTGCTGGCCCTCAGATCACTTCCCTACACATTCTTATCCTCACTCTGCTATTCCTCTCACTCATTAGTTGAATCTGCATTTAGTCAACAGACACGCCCCACTAAGGTATACCTGTAATCCTGGCACTCAGGAGGCTGAGGCAGGAGGACTGCTGTGAGTTCACGGAGAGACCCTGTCTCAAGCAACAAACAAACAAACAAAATATCCCTACCTTCAAGGTCCCCAGAGGGTGTTCTCTTTACTGCCATAAGTAACTCAGCCTAAAACTCTGCTGAACTGGAAACCACTTTCTTGGGAACTTCTGACCACTCCCTTCCCTGCCTGGCCCACACTCCCACAGGAGGTGGGAAGAAACCCAGTATTCCTAGCAAGTCCCTTGCCTGTGTCATGGTCCTGCTGTTCTCTTATAAAAAAGAATTCGTTTTTCCTTGACATTTATTGCATGAATTTAATCCATTTCTCCACACTTCCGTCTTCACTGGCCCTGACGCCTCCTCCATAGTTACCCAGGACCTGGTACCAGAACTCCTCGTAGCTTCCTTCCCTCTCCCTGTCCTCTCTGCCTGTGACCACTAACTACCTGGGGTTTTCCCAGTGCTACAGCCTCGTGCTACTCCTGTCCTCTGCTTGGGACGCCCCGCCAACTTCCACGCACTCTTGATTGTCACCTGGTCCTAGGTCCTGGCTGCCAGGGTGACACTTTCTCTGTGTTCCCATATGTATTCTCCTATAATAGTTGGCCATTCCACTGCCCTTTCCTTAAAAGCCTCATCACCAAGCTCCAAATATACCACTCTGTATACAGTAGGGACTCAATTTATGTTTGGCACCTGAACGCTAAGATTTTTTAGAGAAGGCTACATTATTCTTCCATAGCACTTTGCCTTCTAGGAGAAAAATAATTCTATCTCAACAGAACCTGCCATTTGCTAACACTATTAACATCTTTATCTGCATCACCTTCCTCAGTTTAGTTTTAATATTGCTTTTATTTATGACTCATACAAGTTACAAACTGCTGAGGTCGAGGAACTGTTCCTTAGCGATTTATACTCCCAATGAAATGTGTAACATTATGACTTCTCCAGGAATGATTCACTGGGCCAGGAAATGGAAAGAACTCAAAACCCTAATTCCCTCAAATGTCATCTTTACAAGTGTTTAACTGGGAGTGAAGCAGGACTCTGGTGTAGGATGTTAAACGAGCATGACTCCTGCCGGCCATGCAGCACAACCTGCTACAACATGGACCCTGGAGACGCACCACAAGCTGCTGCGGTGATGGGACCCGAGTGGCTTCCGGCTGCCTCACTTCACAGGCAAGTATGCTGAGGTCACTTGGCTGAGGTGTGCTGTCCCCGAGCAGGGGGCTAGCAGACCACCAGCCTCCCCGGCAACAAGTGACCGGGACACACCACTGGCACGCGTTTATACCTCTGTATGAGTAGGGCAAGGAGGCTCAAGTCCATCCACAGCCCTCCTGTGGATGATGCAGACCCCAAAACACATCAGCACAACTATGTTCAGCTAGTGTGCAAAGGACAGATTTGGTGTGGTGTGTGTGCAGGGCCTCCTTGGCGCTGTCCAGACTGACCTGGAATGCCACAGTGTCAACTGTACGCAGGCAGCAGCACTTGCAGCGGCCACTCTTGAAGCCTCAAGTCCATTTCAAGTGTAATGTGAAAGACCTTTCTTTCACCAAAGGCTTTCCTGTGTGTCAGCACATTAACCTTAACACACTGAGGCCATACGGCAGTGGTGAGGGCCGGAGGCCTGGAGGCAGGCTGTGTTCAAATCCTGGCTCTAACACTGTGTGACCTGGGGCAGATTTGTTACTTTCTCTGCTATATCACCTACAAAATTGGGATAATAACCGTAACTACACCTCATAATATTACTGTGAGGATTAAAAGTTAAAATATGCATGAAATGCTTAGACTGGTTTGTATGTGGGGTACACATATGTACACATATATGCACACACACACCTGCCTGAACATATATATATATATATATATCTGTAAATTACCATTCTTGTCATTTCACAGGTGAGAAAATGGAGCTTTAAAAAGGTGAACAATACATCCACAGGCTCAAAGATGGACTTACACCCAGGACTATATTCTTTCTATCACCTTTCAAGAAAAGTCCCCATGTTTCAGATGAAACAAACTTACTATCTTCCAAACTGTATTTTTTAAGTTCCACCAAGAGACAGAATAGTTTTTAGGAGCAATGCTGTGCTGGCAGTGACACTGCAAAGCTACTGGCACAAGGAAGGAGACCCAGAAGACAGCTTCCTACAGACCCTCACCTCAGCCCGACTGACCAGAGCAACTGAAAATGCCATGATGCCACCTGTGGGGACTGCTCTTCTGTCCCCTCACAGCTCATGTCCTCTTAATATAAACCTGCCATGTTTTACAGTTTATTCCAACCCCTGCACATATCCCTCCAAAGTGGCACCTTTTCAAAGGCTGTTAAAATTAGGATGAAAAGATGGCAGATGCTCCTTAAACCACTACCCACAGCGCCCAAGCTATGAGTCCATCAGTGGATAAAGAAAATATGGCATATTTACACACATGAGAATATTATTCAGCCAGCTAGGCACAGTGGTGCACACCTATAAGACCAGCTGTGAGGAGGCTGAGGCAGGGGGCTTGCAAGTCGGAAGCCAGCCTGGGCAACCTAGCAAGAATGTCTCAACATACAGTAAAAAGGGCTAGAGGTGTACTTCAGTGGTTCAATGGTGGTTTATCATGTGTGGGGCCCTAGGTTCAATACACAGTACCAAAAAGGCACAAGAGGAGGGGGAGATGGAGAAGACTATTCAGCTTTGAAAAAGAAGAAAAATCACTGACATTTGCAATAACATGAATGAACCTAAAAGACGTATTAAATAAAATAAGCTAGGCAAAGAGAGACAAATAGTGTACAGCTTTGTGTATGGGATCAAAAGAAGTCAAACTCATAGAAGCAGAGTAAAATAGTGGTCACTGGAGGCTGGGGTAGGTCAGGGGTAGACACTGGTCAAAGGACACATAATTTCTGCAAGACAGATGGATTAAGTCCAGGAGATTATCACAAACACAGTGGCTATAGTTAACAATGTATTATACACAGGAACCTGCAAATGGCTAAGAGAATAGATCATAAATGTCCTTACTACAAAAAAGGATAAGCATATCAGGGAGTAAATTTAATTAGCTGAATTTAGCCATTTCACAATGTATACATGTATCAAAATACCAGATATGCCATAAGTATATTCAATTTTAATTTGTCAATTAAAAAAAAGGTGGTAGTGAAGCAGTGATATAACTGATCAGTTAGTGGTCAGAGCATGGAACTCAAGAAAGTTCCACTTGAGCAGCTCTGTCCCCCTCCTCTGAGCCCTCTCTGGACACACCCCAAAGTTCGCTCACTAGGGTATGAGAACTCAGTGTCCCCTCGTCTGCCCCACTCTTCCTCGGGCTCCATACCCAAGCAACAGACTTGGGCTGTGTCTGCGGCATCAACGAGCACATTCACGGTCTAGCCCACCTCATTCGGCATCCTCCTCTGCCAACACGGCACACACACAGCTAAAACTCTGCCCCAAGCGGCAGCACCGGCGTCGTCTCCCAGCTCTCCAGTGACTATTCCTATGACAGCTCCTGCTCACCTCAGCTTGAAGTGTGTGCCCCTCCCAATCTCCCTTCTTGCCGTCTGACTCTGTACCCTGTCTCACACACACTACCTCCTCATTCCCTTCCATTTCCCTGTGAATAACAGAGAAAGCCTGGTGCACCACACCCTCACCACAGCCCTTTCTTCTTCCAGCCAAGATTCTAACGGGCTTCCAGCGCCACCTCCAGGCCACTACCATCCGTGGGCAACCCTCCTGTGGCTCTTCCTCTTGCCTGAGGAGTTTCCAAGGAGCCTCCCAGCTGGCACTCACAACCATCTCACGTAGCCTCTCCACTCCCTTCAGACAGCTCTTCTCACCACTCTAGCGCTTGCTTCTCCCTCTGTCTTCCGGCCGCTCCCTGTGCCTCAGGATCTGGGACACCTGCTCTATCAGTTGTTGAAGAGATGACTGAACAAATTCTCCCATTCTACTCCATCTCTACCCTGAAACAGATCTATTTACAAGCTACAAATCTAAGCAGAAAGAAAGAAGAGCTGAGCAAAGTGTGCATCATCTGGTTACAGGAATCTCAGCTTGGCAGCATTGAAAAACCTCTTCATTGTCTTCAATAGTTATTCTCCTCATTTGCAACTAAAACTAACCACAGGGTCCCCAAAATAGACTGAGCTTTAAGGCAAAGACAGACAGAAAAGGGTGGATTCTTGGCTTGTGAACATACAAAGCGCAGGCTTCTTTGAACTGTCCACCAGGCTTGCAGGTCACCTTTAGACCACGACTCCTACAGAAGACAGGAGTCTATCCACTTGTCAGATGGTAGGGCAAAGCTGAATTCTTAACTCTTGTTTTAAATTTTGGTGCGTGTGGAGAAACTGTCCTTTCATGTTGTTTTACAATTTTA